CCCCTGCTTGCCCATCACCCTCCCCTCCTCGCCGATTCAGTCTGATGAGACAAGAAAAAAAAAAGCATCTGTCGCCGCCTTGCTCCTCTTGCTCGCTTCCCCGTGACCCGTGACCCGTGGCCTCCACCTCGATCATTGCTTGTGCGCTTGCACTCGCTTGGCTCTCGCTTCGGTCGGCTCAAGCCACGATCTCGTTTGTCGTGGTTGGTTCTGGCTCCTTGGTGGTTTCACGAGTTGCTTCCCCGCCTTGTCCGCCCTCGTGGTTATAATCCCGAGTGTCCTTTCATCACCCCCGCGTCATCCCGTGGACACACCACCACCACCACGTCACCACCCATATACTTGTGGCTGCCGCTGCCCGTGTCCAAAGTTGCCATTCCAATATACAAACACACACACACAGACAGACAGACAGACACACACACACAGGCAGACACACACGCACACACAGACACACACACACACACAGACACACACACAGACAGACAGACACACAGACACACACGGAGACCTGGATCCCTCTTGCTCATGGCTACGCTTTTATGACACCAAACTCGTGCCACTTTTGCGTCCCCGCGTGTGTGTGTGTGTGCGTGTGTGTGCGTGCGGTGTGGTTTGGCTTGACGTCTGGGTGGTGTGTGGTTGAGAGATTGAGACCGTTTGTCTGGGTCTGTCTGTCCGTGATCACAAAAGCGCACGACGCCTCACAACCCCTCTGTTGCAATTTTGATCCCATCGCTGCCCGGGATTGATGGTCTGCCCTCGCCCCCACATAGATCCACAGCCATCACCAGCGTCTGCGACCGTACCCAAGGGTCAGCCCCCACACTTCTGATTGCTCTAGTGTGTATCGGTAAGCGCATCCTCTCGCCCACTTGCCTACCAATGGTCCCAAACACACTCGACGCCCGCTAGGCCAGACTGCCATCCTCGAACCTGCATCTCCCACCTCTTCTCTTCTCTCTCTCTCTCTCTCTCTCTCTCTCTCTCTCTCCATCTTTGCTCCCGAGGCCTGAGATCCGATGCCTGCGCCACCTTTTCCCACATTATACATCAGGCATTGATCCGCTTCATCCAAGCCCACACGTCTCCTCGAACCGCGTTGCGCTCCTGCTTCCACAAGAACACATCGGGTGTGCCTGCTCACTTTTTGAGATCACCTCATATGTGTGTGTATGTGTGTGTGTGTGCGTGCGTGCTTCTCGAAACGGCAGACCCTGTGCGTGTACTCGGTAGCATTTTGATGATCATTTCTTTTGCTCGCATGCAGAATAGCTGAAGCCCCTTGAATCAGAAGTTGACTCAGCAAGAGACATACACTGGGTCGAGCTAGCACCCCCCTCTTCGCAGCAGCACCAAACATCTTGGCGGGTTTTCAGTACACAGGAGGGGCCGGGCAGGGTGCCCATTCTTGCCGGCAGCCGACCAAGCTCCCGCCAAACCCTTGGCTCTTGGCGTCCATGCTCGGCAAGCCATGCTCGCAACCTTCTAGTGGACGTCTGTCCACAAGCCCCACCCTACAAGTCCCCAGCCCTCGATCAGCCGCCATGAGCACCTCCCGCGGGGTTTCATCCTTGTCACCAACTCTTGGCGGCGATGAGGGTCCCATTCAATGCAAGGAATGTGGGCGTCGCTTTGCCCGCACCGCCAACCTCCGTCGGTAAGATTCTCTTTCCAATCCACACAGCCAACACATATATTCCCTCCGTCATGCACCGTACCCCGTGTGTGTGTGTGTGTGTGTGTGTGTGTGTGTGTGTGTGTGTGTGTGTGTGTGTGTGTGTGTGTGTGTGTGTGTGTGTGTGTGTGTGTGTGTGTGTGTGTGTGT